CCTTTCAGAGCGCGCACGGGAGGGGTGGTCGGGGCGTGGTGTAGTGGTCTAAGGCGGCGGTTCAGCCCCGGGACAGGGGACGCGGGTTCGGTTCCCGGGTTCGCAGGCCTCCGCATTTTCGTTTTGCTTTTTTGCGGAAAATGTTCCTAGTGGAATGCCATGACTCTAGTCGAATCAAGAAGCATCCTATCACTTTCTTTCGCGCAGAATGGATCAGAAAAACAGCGGACTCATGCATATATCCAAAATCGACCGCTGTTAAAATCACAACGCTACGACGTTCTAAAACTGGTTGCGGCAGATAGAGCGAAGTTTGTTCTGTGTTCCTAGCTTTCAAGCAGATTCCAGACCAACCAGGAAAACGTACTATAGTCAGTTGAAAATTTTAACTAACTTTCTATTGCAGCGTGATGTAGATGTCAAGGTGATGCGATTTTGCACTTTATTGGATAGTTGCTAGTCTATAGTTTATCAAAAAATGCAATTGAGGCGCTATGGGCCAACATTTAGCTTCCCTATGATGCCCGTTGTCTTAGGTACCTCATTTTTTTCAACTTCAAACCGACCGGGCGCCCGATTGCCGTGTACGGTTTTCAGGAAACATTGACCAAAAGATAGAGCAGAAGCTGTTCTATTTTTCTGTACACTCAAGTAGATTATGAAATCTTCTCAGAAAAAAGTTATAGCCAGTTGAAAGTGGAAAAGATAGCACCACTTAGCTTAACAATGCATTACGGGTTCTATACTGATAACGGGGTCCTTAAATTTTAACGGGGTCCTTAAAAAATATCGGGGTCCTTAAATTTTAACGGGGTCCTTAAATTCTGCGGGGTCCTTAATTTTTAACGGGGTCCTTAAAAATTATCGGGGTCCTTAGATTTTATCGGGGTCCTTAAAATTAGGTCGAAAAACAAGTTAAGGACCCCGTTAAATAACGGGGTCCTTAAAAATTAATGAAAAAAATTAAGGACTCCGTAGCTAAAGCTAAAAAATAGTGTTTGTGTGTGCCAATCTGCATACAAGTTCCGTCACCATGTCCGGAGGATATCTCGATAGCCGATGAATTTTAAGGTATGTATGATAAGTTATTTGATCCGTACTGGCCGTGAGATGACTGCACACTGACCAGATTTTACAAAATCAGTTCTTTTAGACATTAAATTTAAGTTTTTGTAAAGATTTCCGGCATCGACTTCGTTAGGAAACAATCATAACAATCAAACATTTTCGTTTACGAACATTTTCAAACATTTACGAAACATTCGATGTTTAAATTTTATCGGGATTTTTTCTTGAATTTTAAGCTTTTTGCATTGTTTTAGCAATGTGAAGGAATGCTAAATCGATGACTGATTAAAAGGCCGTCCGCCGGAAATTTTACAAAAACTTAAATTTAATGTCTAAAAGAACTGATTTTGTAAAATCTGGTCAGTGTGCAGTCATCTCACGGCCAGTACGGATCGAATAACTTATCATACATACCTTAAAATTCATCGGCTATCGAGATATCCTCCGGACTAAGATATCGAGATATAACTTGTATGCAGATTGGCACACACAAACACTATTTTTTTAGCTTTAGCTACGGACTCCTTAATTTTTTTCATTAATTTTTAAGGACCCCGTTATTTAACAGGGTCCTTAACTTTTTCGACCTAATTTTAGGACCCCGATAAAATCTAAGGACCCCGATATTTTGGGACCCCGTTATAAGGACCCCGCAAATTAAGGACCCCGTTAAATTGAGGACCCCGATATTCAGGACCCGTTAAATGGGACCCCGTTATCAGTATAGAACCGCATTACGCGAGGGGTATTGGAGCGCCCCGTAGCCTAGCCCCTTCGCCCCCTCTCCTGCGCGTTTTTATTAAAGGATGAATCGTAGTGACGAAAATCATGACAAGCAAGCAAAGATTTAGCGCCCCGTTGTAAAGCGTCGACCTGGGTATATATTGTACAATTGGCCGTTGTGCACGTTATTATACTTTTCTTGTCGTTAAAATAAACTTGTGAGCAAAGCAATATAGTTTCTTACACTTGTAATAGTTTTTCTTTCAACAAAACATCGAGTAATCGGTCCCATTACGCGACCTAAAAGCCTGTCTGCTATTGCGCGCCCCGCGAATCAACCTGCCTGAGGGCTAAACACCCGCACAACCGCCCATGGGTTCGGTCCCGATGGCTCCCGGGAAAAAGCGTACTGTACGGGTTTTTGCCTGGGGCGCGAAATAGCAGCATGATTTTAGCTGCGCAGGCTTGCTTTCGCAATCGCGCGACGCGTCTATCGCACGCGTTGCGGTCTTTCTTGGTTACCAATTCTACCGGACGTTTTATTAGGCGCCGGGCCGCTGTGCCCGCCCGTCAAAATCGACAAATCTAGCGCGTTTTTGCGAAGAAAAACCCATTAACGTTAGCTTCAGAAGCTTCACGAGCGCTTATTCGGCCAAACGCCTCGAATTCTGAAAATCCTATCCTATAAGCGAGAAAAGTATGTCTGTTTTCTGTGCAGCCGATTTCTCGGCCGTCAGGCCGAATATGGCGCTGATTTTTGGCATGGTGGTGGAGAAACACATTTGTCAGACACGCATTTTTTTTGTTTTTCAAAATTCCTCCATTTAACACTTTTACAAGCAAAATAGTAAAAATCCTTAACAAAATGGGCGACGAGCCGTGGTGTTCGGGGCATAACTCGATTCGCATTTGGAATTTCGGGCTGAAATTTGGACCACTTATGTATTCGATAGTCGGGATCACGCGCATCTTATTATCTTTACAAATTTTCTGCAGATTCAGACTCGAAAACTTAATTTTGTAAAGTGACCAGAAGGCATCTCCCCCCCGGGGCATTGGGTCGGCCTTTTCTGTGCCTCTCCGCCCCAATTGCCCCGGAACAGAAGAGGGCTTTCCTGCCGCCTGTTCCCATCTGACCCGTGGTGTAGTGGAATTGCGTCTGGCCTACCACCCGAAGGATCGTGGGTTGGGATCCTGGGCAAATACAACCTTTTGCTTTTTGATGGTTTAGCAACAAAACATATTTCTAGGCTCTCGGTGTGCGCGGTTTAGGCCTGGCTCTCGCTCTAGCGCCGCAGGCCAAAGAAAAGGGCCTTGGTCCAGGCTCTCGCGCCGCAGGCCAAATCCCCGAGGAAAAACCAGTAACTAGCGCCGCAGGCTCAAAAGTTCTAGCGGAACGTTGGCTCTAGCGCCGCAGGCCAAAGAATGGCGCCATTACTCAGGTTCTTGCGCCGCAGGCTAAAAGACGAAGGTATTCAAATTCATGATTCCTGACGGGGTCCAGTGGAAAATGGCCGCGAAGCGGTCTTTTTTCCACTGGTTTAGCATTATCCAGTTACCATGATGGCCTTATTGAGCAAAAACAAACTATCAAAACTACGCTTAAGACCGAAACATAAATTTTTAAGCCTGAAACCAATTTTTCTCAAGTTCAAAACGATTTGTAGCAACTTTTAGACCCCAAAAAAGGCACTCTACTGAATTTTCGAAACCAAAAAAAGGGCAACGAGGGCTTCTGCCGCTCAAAATCACTACTAGCAGGCGAAAAAAGTTAAATTTTCAGCGAGTTATACTAGAAAAAGACGAATTAAACGGAATTGCATAGAAATAAACTATCAAAACTACCGTAGAGCCTGAAACATAGATTTTTCAATCTCAAAAATTTTAAAAATCTACAAAATCACCACGAAAAATCAAACTAGCCAACTATTACAAATTCTAGAGCTCAAAATCGACAAACCGGGGCCAATTTTCGCTAGCTAAAATGGCTTCACGAGCTCTCCTAATAAGCGAAACGCCTCAAATCCTGAAAAATTATACTGATATTGAGAAATGCGAATGAAGGAGCTATTGAGGAAAAAGAAACCATGGAAACTACCTTTTAGTCGGAAACACAGAATTATAAGCCTGAAAGCAACTTTTCTCAAGTTCAAAACGATTTGTAGCAACTTTTAGACCCCAAAAAAGAAACTCTAATGAATTTTCGAAATAAAAAAAGGACAACGAGGGCTTCTGCGGCTCAAAATCACTTCTAGCAGGCGAAAAAAGTTGAATTTTCAGCGAGTTATGCTAGAAAAGACGATTCTCAAGGAATTCTATAGAAATAAACTATCAAAACTACCGTATAGCCTGAAATATGGATTTTTAAGCCGGAAAGCAACTTTTCTAAGATTAAAAACGATTTCCAGCAACTTTTAGCGCTCAAAATCGACAAACCGGGCCAATTTTCCCTAGCTAAATGGGTTTACGAGAGTTGTAGAAGCTTCACGAGCATTTTTTAATCAGGGAAACGCCTCAAATCCGAAAATTTATACTGAACTAGCCCGAGAGGACAATTAATTGAGCCTAAAGAACCTTTCTGCGCTACCTGTGAGCTTGAAACATACAATTTTGAGCCTGAAAAAAAATCTAACAAACCGATTGTAAGCTAAAAACGATTTCTAGCAACTTCTAGGGCTCAAAATCGACAAATATAATCAGTTTTCCCGCACAAAAATCGAATGGCGATATTTTCTAATGCCTGAAAGCGCTTCCTGCGAACGAAAAAGCCAAATTGATAATTCGAAAAGAAAGAAACGCGTATTCCGGAAAGTTACAATATCAAAAGGGCGCTATAGCCTGAAACATGGATTTTTCAATCCCAAAAATTCGAACATCACCACGGCAATTAAAAACTCTCCAGATACTACAAATATCGTAGCGTCGCTCTGTAGAAACGTATTTTAATAAAAAAACGAAAATTAGTTTTTTTACACGTTTATCATGAAAATCGGCGCGCGTGTGCGTGAAATCGACAAAAATCACAAATAGCAAAAACAACGAAAGGAAAAGAAGGTGAAAATCGACAATTTGGGGCAACGGGATTTTTTTAGGGTTGGAAAATTCAAGTGAAAAGCTGGGGAAAGAATTGTGGATTTTTAGTAAAATAAAATAAGCTTTAAAAAACAGGGAAAAGAGTAACCTTTATAAAGCAAAAAAAATCCGCATTATTTGACGTATTTGTCCATGAATTTCCGGTGGAACTCGGAGCGGATGGCGTCGTTGATGAACGTCGACTCCTTCTTGCGCTCGTCGAGGCCTGAAAAAGATAGAAGTTTGATAAGGAAATTTTGTCTATTAGATAGAGCTTTAAATTCTGACCAAACTAGTGCTTTTAAAAAGGATAAAAATACCGTGAAAATCGCGAAAAATGACTTAAAATGAAATTTTTCACAGGAAAAAAATATATTTTTCAAGTTTTCCTGGCTTTTTTCTGGTTTTTAAAAGCCATAATTTTTCCTGAAATTTATCCTCTATCCTTTGCAACAACATACGGGTTTTTTTAAGGCAGAAAAAGGCAAGAAAATTAAAAGGGATTTCCTCGATCTTAACTGGATCAGAATTTCTCTTCTATCTTTCTAAATCAACAAGATAAAGCTCTAGAAAGTAGAAAAAGACACGGAAAATCGAGAACAAAAAACAGATTTTCCCGGCTTCCCAAAAAGATGTTTCTCGATTTTGCCTTTTTTTTGTCTATTTTTCAAAATCAGTTTGTCCTTAATACAGTTCTGCTCTATCTTCCCAAACAAATTCAAGCATTTATAAACCAGCCGGAAATTCGGCCTTACGGCCGAGAAACCGCCCGGACAGAAAACACACATACTTTTCTCGCTTATAGGATAGGAAACGTGAAAATGATACCAAAATCGAAAAAAAAATTTTGCAATTTAAAATAGAAATTTTCGATTTTCTTGACTTTCTAAACTTTAAAGGGATGCCGACGGCATAGACAATCGATTACGCGCGGAAAAGAAAATGTCTCTGCGCCTCTCCCCAGCGCGCCCTCTCTCCCCTGTTGGCTACTTGCCAATTTGTTGATGAGGGGGGATCGACACATGCCGTCGGCAGCCCTTTAAAAAAGTTGTAATTTGTTCAGAATTTTCTGTTCTATCTTTCTAAAGCAACAAGACAAAGCTTTAAAGATCGGAAAAGACAAGAAAAATCGAGAAACGCATTTTTAAAAACTAAAAATCTATTTTTTTCCGATTTTCGTAACTTTCTGAACTTTAAAAAAAGTTATAATTTGTGGAGAATTTTCTGTTCCATCTTTCCAAACAAATTAGAGCATTTCAAAACCCAGAAAAAAAGCCAAATTGAGAAAATACATTTTTCAGCCTTCAAAAGGATGTTTCTCGGTTTTGCCACATCATTTTCCAGTTTTGAAAATCAATGAAGTGGTAGCTTTTCTTTGTCAAATCAGTTATAGAAATAAGGCTAAATTACAATACCTTTAGCACAGTTCTTAAAAACGACATCATCGTCCCAGCGCCGCCGCACCTTGAAGCCCTCCTCGCCCTGCTCCTTGTCAAAGTTCAGCAGCGGGTTCCCGTGCAGCACGTTGTCCATGCGGATTTTTTCCTGAAAAAAATGGGATAATATTGAGGGCAGGCTAGTAGGGATTTTTGAGAAGTAGAGGGCAGGCTAGCAGAGGCTCTTTGCGTAATTTGAGGGGCAGGCTAGCAGAGAAAATTTGCAGCAGCGCGAAACCATCAATTATAACAAATCCCAAAAACTTCTAGTCCCGAATTTTTCAAACATTTAATTTTTAGGCAAATAGCAGGGGTCTTTGAGGAAGGGAGGGGGCAATCTAGCAGTTTTTTTGAGGAATTTCGAAATCTGGTTCTTTGGCATTATCGGGGGATAGAAAATTTGTTCTTAGGAACCAATTCTTCTAATATAAATAGTGGAAGTGTTTCCAAACTGCTTTTACTATTTCGAAACCCAAAAACTCACAAATTTTGGTAAAAAAAAATACAAAATTACCAATTTTTCGACCAACAATGGCCGTTTTTTGCCTAAAATTTCGAATTTTTGAGAAGTTTTTGAAAGTTTTCACATGTTTTTTTCTAGTTAAAATAAAGTCTTTTTTACTAAAAACACTATTTAAAAAACATGCCACTACGACATTCTATTTTTCTCATTTTTCTGCTTATCTGGAAACAACTTTTTCAAAACAAACCCTAAAAACTGTTTAAAAGTTTTAGGTTAAACTTTGCCCGAAAAATCTATATTTTTGTATTTGATAACCAATTTTGTAAAGTTTTCTACGTTTAGGGACAGTAAACAAACAGCTTAGAAACACTTCGGTATTGGATTTGAAAAACTGGAAAGATTAGAAGGAAAATAGGTCCCCCGATAATGCAAAAGAACTGCGAATTTTATTCACCTGTTCCTCCTTTTCCTTGTCTTCTTTTGCCTCCCTCTCGACAGCCCTCTCCTTCTTGATCCTCGCCAGCTCCTCCATCAACGCGGCCGTGTCATCATCATCAGAATCATCGTCCGAGTCGTTGACCTCCTCGAGCGGCTCGTCAGCGTCGATATCTTTCGTCGAGGCGGCAATCTCCTCGAAACGCGGCTTCTTCGAGGAGGAGCTCGATCCGCCCTCGCGTCCAGCGCGTTTCTCCCGCGCTGCCGAGCGCTCCTTGTCCTCGAGCTCACGGCGCAGGTCCTGAAATGCAAAAATAAAACTAAAAAATAGATTTTTTCGAATATTTTTGCCAATTTTCAAGCTTGAAAAAATTTTTTGACGTTCTATCGGGTTCAGAATTTCTATTTTCTACCGAATCGGCACCGTTTCTGAGCGACAAACGAAAAACGCCTAGAAAACCTCGCTGAAAGAGTAAAATATAGGTTCCTCAGCTTTTTTTTCAGTCAAAAAATACTTTTCCAGGCCATCAAAATTTTGCATTCTATCAGATTGGCTTTTTCTCTTCAAATAAACTGAAAAACCAAGCACGAAACTCCAAAAAAACGCACCCGCTTCCTGAGCTCGTCGCTGGTGCCCTGGCCCTGCTGGCGGTACTTGATCTTGGTGTGCGAGGGCATGTCCTTGCTCGAGTATTGGGCCGACAGCTTCGACAGGTCACCCTCCGACCTAAAAGAAGATATTAAACTAGCTAAATTAAGCGTTTAAATTACCTATCATTGCCTCCGCGGGCCGGGTTGAACGTCGGTCGATGGGCGGTCGTCATCGCTGAAAGAAGAGCATTTAAAATCGTTAAAATCGTTCAAAAATCGTTGAAATTCACCAAAGAAGCATGGAAAAACATCAAAACCACAGTTTAAATCATGAAAAAAATCCCAAAAACTAAAGATAATGTTCCCAAATCTTTCTAAAATGTCTAAATCAAATCATAACGCCTCCTTTTTCAGTTTGTATTCGGTGTTTAACAATATTAAAGCTCTAAAAAACCAAGAAACCTCCTAAAAGCGGAACGGAATTTCGGAATGAAAAAAGTGCCGGGCTAAACGTTGGCTGTCGGCGAGCGCGTCGCAGATGACGAGCAAGTGCATACGGTTAAAAATCGTCAGATCCGCTACAAAGAAGCATAGAAAAACATAAAAACAACAGTTTAAATCATGAAAAACCTCAAAAACGAGACAAAGCGCCCCAATTTCGGTCTAAAAAGATGAAATTTAATAACAACGCCTTCTTTTTTAGTTGACTTCAAAGAGTGGATGTCATTAAAGCTCTCAAAAACCTCGAAAACTCCCAAAAATTTGAAACATTTCGCAGGAAATGTTTTCGGAAAATAAGATTCTGGGCGCTCCGTACGACACTAAATTACGAAAACCGTACAGGGGTGCGGAGCGGAACGGAATTCGTATTTTTCGCTGGACAAAAAAAATAGAGAAATCCATAGTTTTTCTTAGTTTTAATCGCTATTAAAAACACTATTAACATTTTCCAACCTTCCAAAACATAGAAAAAAATTTATGCCATCTAAAACTAGCTTGACAACCGTTAACAAGCTCGCTTAACACGTTTTAACGCTCAAAAACTCGTTAAAGCGTTCAAATCGAAGTGAAAAGTAAAGTTAAAGCCCCATTTTCCAATTCCGAATAGCCAATGTCTGTCTTCTTGCGGCTGGTGGCCCGTTTCAGCTACATTGCCATCCAATTGACGGGTGTCAGGGCACGCGACGCGGCTGAGACGCGTCGCGTGCCCGGCCCAGGGCGGGATGATGGGGGGCGCCCCGGGAAAGGGAAGGGCAGCGAAGAGCGGAAAAGAGCGAGAGAGAGAGACAGAGAGGAGATTAGAGACAGGGCGGTGGCTATAAAAATGGATCGATATATTACTGTCTACCTTAAATAGCTGCCAGATATCTTAGATACCTTAAAATCATACTTTAAAAGGTAGTTTATACCTTAGAAATTGTTAGATAACGTTATACAAGATGGGGACGTCACAGAGGCTAGAGAACAGGGCGAGGGGAGAGACGCAGAGCGGGGCAGAGGGCTAGAGGGAGGCGAGAGACGCAGAGATTGGGGTAGAGGGCCGAGGCCCCCGCCGCTTAGCCCCGGCCCCCCTCCAATCTAACCTCCCAAATACCGCCCTCGGCTTTTAATCAAAGATTTGTTTATTATGGGTATTATCGATTGATTTTATCATGTCGTAATCAATTGGGGCTATCGATTGTCGACTTTTTTAGCGAGTTTTTAAGTGGTAAACTCTCGAAATCCCTGGAAAATTGCCGTGCGATTGCCGGGCTGTGGTTAGTAGCTTTTGGAACGGATTTTGCTTATTATAAAGGTGGTAAATCCGTAATATAATGTCGTAATTGATTATATCGATCGATGATCACCTTATTTTGGATGATAAAGCTCTGAAAAACGGTGAAATTTGACGTTTTCCATCGACTCTTTGCCGGTCTATTTTTCGAAGCTTTTGGATTGGATTTTGGTTATTAAAAAGTATTTATTGGCGTTATCATTGACCTCCTCGTGCCAATCGGAATCATCGGAAAATCCCGCAAAACATCGTTGCTAGACTGCCGAAATGTTTTGGACAAGCCGAATCGGTCTGCAGATTGACAAAACCCCGAGCAGCCGCGGGCGCTTTTGTTTTGAAACATTGTTTTTTTTTCTGGGTGAATGAAAAGATCGATACGGGTCCGACATTTCCTCACTAATCTCTGCTAGCCTGCCTCTCAGGTAGTAGATTTTAGAAATTACAAACTTATTCAGATGCCCTGTTAGCCCGCCAAATTTCTGGTATAGCCCTGAAGAGCAGATTGAACACAACGAAAACAGCCTCAAGCGGTCTTGTTTTGAAACAACATTTTTTAATTGTGGTGCGAATTTAACCAACGGTCGACAATTTCCTCAATGATCTCTGCTAGCCTGCCTTTTCAAATTACAGATTTTAGAAATGAAAGGATCCAGCCAATTCCTCCAAGGATCGCTGCTAGCCTGCCGAGTTTTTACGAGATGAATACTCCGCGCTCATTGTCCAAAACCAAAACATCCTCAAGTGCTTTTGTTTTGGAACATAGTTTTTTAATTGTAGCGCGAATTTAACCATGGGTCGGCGATTTCCTCAATCATCACTGCTACTGCCTTTTAGGTAGTGGATTTTATAAATTAAAAAATTGAGGAAATTTCCGCAAAGTGTCGCTGCTAGTTTACCGAAATGTTTTTGGAAGTGACAATGTTGCCCCCATTGACAAAAACTAAAACATCCGCAGCCGCTCTGCTTTTGAAACATTATTTTTTTAACTGTAGCGCAAATTTAACGATCGATCGGCGATTTCCTGAATAATCTCTGCTAGCCTGCCTTTTAGGTTCTAGATTTTAGAAATTAAAAAATGCGACAAATTCTTCAAAAATCGCTGCTAGCCTGCCTTTTAAATCTATCGATTTCAGAAATTAAAGAATTCAGCAAATTCTGCAAAGTGTTTTTCGACGGAATGCCTCGCCCATTGGCAAAAACTGAAACAGCCCCAAACGGTTTCGTGTTGAAACATAATTTCTATTTCTTTGGGTCGAACTGGACGATCAACCCGCGATTTCCTCAATAATCTCTGCTAGTCTGCCTGTCAGGTAGTGGACTTTAGAAAGTAAAAAAATTATACGAATCCCTCAAAAATCGCTGCTAGTTTGATCTGAACCAAAACCTTCGCCACACCATTTTTTGCTGAAACATTTTTCCTGTGTCAAGTTTTGCAGTTTTTTTGTGACCTGAAAATCGACCGCCATTCGCCCAGTTTTACAGCCAATTTCCGCAATAATCCCTGCTAGCCTGCCTTTCCCGAAACTAAGGAAATTCCTCAATAATCTTCGCTAGCCTGCCTCTAGTAACAATGGATTTTTGGGCCGGGATTATCGATTATTCGCCCTATTTGTGTTCCGAGCCAAGCCTAGCTATAACTGTCTAAAACCAAAACAGCCGGGCTTCTTTTTGTTATGAAACATTTTCTTTTTTTTCTTGACTTTTATGGTTTTCTTTTTTAAATCTTTACCTCTAATTTATATACGTTATTTATTTAAAAGCCTGCCTGATCGCTGCCAGCTTGTTTATTTGTATTCTCGACTCGCAAACCGCGTTTATCGATCTAAACAAAAACCTCCAAGGTGCTTCTTGTTTTGAAACATTTTATTTTTTTCTCGGTTTTCTGGCATTTTTCCAAATTTCGACAACTGATACATTATTTATTAAGACATCTGCAATTCCTCAATGTTCTCTGCTAGCCTGCCTTTAGAAAATTGCATGCCTAAAAAGGCTTAAAAATTTTGAAATTTGACAACTGCTAAAAACCTACAAACTAACCCGCAAAAACTTTGAGGCTGACCATTTTTTTGCTGAAACTTTTTTTTATTGGTGACTTAAATCAAGCGAAATTTTCAAAAAATCTCTGCTAGCCTGCCTTTTTTGGGGGGTTTTACTGGAGTCTTGAAATTACAGAATTAGCGAAATTCCGCAAAGTGTCGCTGCTAGTTTGCCCTATTTTACGAGCCTTCGATTACCAATACATTGGAGAAAACGAAAACCTCCAACGTTCCTTTTACTTTGAAGCATTTCCTTACTTCTCATTTTGTTGTCGTTTTTGGATTTATATTGCTAATTTATATACGTTATTTATTTCCTCAATGATCTCTGCTAGCCTGCTTGTCGAAAACTCAATGACTTTGATGTAAGCTGATCAAACGTCTCGCAAACATTAACCGAGAAATTTTTTCCGACAAGCGGTAATGTGTTGAAACATTTTTTTTGATCATGGCGTTTGTACCATTTTTAGCTAAATACTCTCTGTTAGCCTGCCTTTCGGGTCATATATTTTATTCTTCTTAATTTTGCTGCTTTAGATGTATATTTTTATTCAGAATTTTACGCTTTATCAAATCCGCAAATTTTTGTACAAGTTTTCCACAAATAATCCCTGCAAGCCTGCCCAAAACAACCAAAGTCGTTCGAAATCCGCCATTTCTCTGGGTCTTCACGAATTTTCTCACATACCGAAACTTATTTTTGATTTTCGAAAACATATTTCTATTCAGAATGTTTTGCTCTATCATATACGCTAAATTCCGCATCAAGATTTCCGCAAAGAATCCCTGCGCGCCCGCCCAAAAGCAACGAAAACTGCGATTTCCTTGACTTTTCGCGCTTTTTCTCGACTACCATAACTTAGTTTGCATTTTTGAAAGCATATTTCTTTTCAGAATTTTCTGATCTATCAAACCAGCTAAATTTTTATCAATTTTTCCGCAAAGAATCCCGGCTAGCCTGCCCAAAAACTCGGAAATTTTCCGAAAAAATTCCGAATTGTTTAATTATATTATTTAATTCCAAATTAGACGAATTCCTCGAAGAATCGCTGCTACTTTGCCCCGGGGAAGTTATGGAAACTACGTAGAAGCCACAGGATTGACTGGAACCCGGCCTTTGCAGGCCCAATTTTTTGGTGAAACATTTTTTGTGAAATATTTTTGCGTTGTTTTTTTTTGGTGCTCGAAAAATGGCCTGATGACTTACGCAAGAATCTCTGCTAGCTTACCGCCAATAGAGGCGGTTTTTTTGGGCCCAGCCTATCGATTTTCCGTTCTGTTTGAATTCTGCCCATAAAATTCCCCATATTGGCCAAAACAAAAGCACCAGCTCCTCGTTTTGTTTGAATCCTGTTATTTTTTCCTCGACATTCCTCAACAATCTCTGCTGGCCTGCCTTTTTTACAAAAATTTAGCATTATTT